CGGGGAGATATCCTTGGTATAAGTTAAATGAGATGGCCCGGAATAGGTGAACTTGCGACATCAAACGGCAATATCATAGTATATAGTGGTAATATAGACAGCGAACCCGGAGTTGGAATACTAATTTTTAGGAGACTCAAGAAAAGTCTAATAAGTTGGCGCACAATATCTGATAGAATAATAATCGCAAGAATACACACGAGAATGAGAAAAATTACGCTAATACAATTTTACGCACCTACAGAGTTAGCAAGTGATGAGATAAAAGATGAACTTCACGCACAGCTAACGGCAAAATTCAGCAACATCCCCAGATCAGATATTGTAGTAATGATGGAAAAACAAAATTAAATTTGAAGATGTTGTGTAACAAGTTATAATGTAATTGCGAAAAAAATAAATAAGGTTTTTTAGAATGTTTTTTAGACAACTTGAAAAAATATGTATGGTTAATCCGAAAGAATCTTATGCAGAGATTCCGCAAACAACGGAAATTCAAATTCAGAAATATCAGTATGGAAGAACTTAAAAATATTTGGGGAAATGTGAATGAAAAAAGGGTGAAAAGGGTATTGACATGAAAATTATTGGAACATACTAGGAAAAACGTTAGCGGAAATTTAAAAAAGTATAATTGATTATGACTTTTTTCCAAGTTGCTAGAAAGAGTCAGTTATAGTACCTGTTAGGAAGTCAAAAATCCAATTAAATGTGATGGCATGCGTAAAATAAATATGTTACCTACTTTTAAACAAATTGTTAAAAAATTTGAGCAAATTCCACTTGAAAAAAATTTAAAAAAAAAAATTTCAAAGTACAATCTGGCTTTCCTAAAAACCATTATTACAAGTCGGTGTTGAATTGGACCATAGTGAAACTGAAGGAAATAACGGAGACGAAAAAATTATTATAGTTGTATTTTAGATTTTCAGAAAGCTTTTGAGACATACTATTGAAAAAAATTGGAGAAAAATTATTTTAAGGACAATGAGCTGAGATTTTTCAATTTTATTTAGGAAACCGTTCTCCAAAAACTAAATTCAATAGTATTTATTCTTCACATCGTGAAATTGATATTGTAGTAGCTCGATGATCAATTTTAAGGACATTGCTAATCTTAATTTACATTAATAATGTAAAAAGCATCCTAAATTTTTCGGAAATTAAATTACTTGGTGATGATGCATTTATTTATGTGACCGATAGCGATGAAAAACGTTGCAAAGAAAATTAGAACAAGATTTGAACTCGTTAAATATATGGTTACATAAAAATAAGCTAAAGCAAAATACAGATAAAACTAAATTTATGGAACTGAATAAAAATAGATTTTTGTAGGCGATATAAATATTGGCGGTGAAGACATAAGGAAGGTAGAATGCTTGAGATATTTAGAAGTTTTTGTAGACGATAATAAAGCAATAAAATAGGGAATACAATCAACAACATTTCCCAAAACAGAATTTAGTACCCTACGAAAAGTAAAAGTCTCTAAACCTACCAAAAAAGACCTACCTTTACATGGTGACAATCAAAGAATATGAGACAAATCTACACCACGCAATTCAATTTCCCATTTGTCTTCTCAAATACCTACATTACAAATAAATAAAAATATCTACATTACAAATATTGTACATCTGTGGATGTAAGGAAAACAATTTGACCCAAATAAATTCGACCAAAGAAATTAGTAAGATCAAACTTTTAAGTATAATACCAAAATAACATAAATACATATACTTTCCTTCAATTTAGATAAAATTATTCGTTGAAGATTAAGTTAGAAGCTAACTTATGTAACACCACATGCGGCCGCCAGTCATAATCCGACGAATAATCGACACACAAGAACAGATGTCGAAGAACTTCATGGATTCACAAACTCAAATCACTTAAACCAAAGTAACCGAGGTCATTCACAATGCTAGAACAAATTTTATCAAAAAGAAACTGTTTACCAGCTGAGAAGACAAAAATAACAACAAAAAGATTAGAAATTATCAGACCCAAATTTATAATTTATTAGATCATGAACCTTCAATCCAAAAAACTTTCCTCGGCTAACCCTTTAAAAAAAATTTATAAAAAAAGGATAGGAAAAAAGGATTGAATCATAATTTTGCGGAATAACGGTTTTTTCGTTAACTGGCAAGAGATCATCTGTGCTTTCGATTTTAACTAATAAACACGCAATCATTCACAAAAAATTCATAATTCACACAATTTAGAAGTCGTACATATGTATGTATATGGAATACATAAATTATAAAAGATTTTTACGATAAATACAACATTGTTATAATGCTGTTACACATTCTGCAAACCAAATAAAATCGGTAAAGAAATACGAGTGCTTTATCGAGTAATATATTAAAATTATTAACATTCAATAATCGTTTTGTACAATTTTTTAACCTTTCAAACATGTTAACACAAGTTGTGTAAATAATAAATACAACAAAATGATACAAAACATAAGCAAATTTTCAATACGTTGTGTTATTTAAGTTTAATACATTAATTTTGCTCGCAGATGAAGTGAATGCAAATTTAAAATTTTTACATGAACATAAACTTTGCGTATTCCAGAAAGTGTGTGGTACCTACATTCTTAGGCAACAGCTTGTTTATTCATATCGTGCGCTGTTTTACTTTTCTTTTTTGACGTATGCAAAATACATTATGTTGTTATAACAATCATGTTAGTAAATTTAATATAGAATAAAATTTGTATTATGGCATGCGTATTTTTTTTGATATGAATGACGTTGTTCTACAACCTAGATGACAGACATTGTGAACGTTCGTGCCAATTTAAAAAAAATAAAATTGGCTTTCAAAAGTGCCAAGTGTTTCAGAAAAAAAAATTCAGTAAGTATCAAATTTTTGAGTAACGAAAAAATTAAATTTATTAATAACTCTAACTAGCTCTTTATGTCTTGAACTGAAACAAATTTACATCGGCTCCATTTAAAAAAAATAACTAAAAATTAAGTTGATACAAAAAAGACTGAACTGTCTCTAACTGAAATAGAATTTAAATTCAGCTTTTCCGAAATTCGGAAATAAAAATGAATTTCCATTTTGACAATATTTCCAAAAAAATCTCCTTCCCCTTCTGTAATATTTCAATTTTTTAAAAGTTACCAATTGTTTTCTTGGAAATAATGTATTAGAATAAAGTTATTTCATTATTTTCTCTTTGATTTGGTTTCTAATCACTTTTAAAAATAAAATCGAGTTGAAAGTTCGACGTTATTTAAATAATTTTGGAAAAAATATCAGTACTAATTTATTTCTTTCGACATCCCAGTGCACCAAAAAATGAAGTGACAAAATATATAAATAGTTAACAACATCCCACGTGCCATTGAAAATTTGAAATGTGTCAATCTTGGCACGCGTGCCACTCAATCCGATTCTATGACGTTAGTACATCCATGAACACCATGCCGGTCCAAGAAAAAAATTACAAGGCTCTATTTTCAAATTACAATCGTTTTTTAAATTCTAGTTTATTTCAAATCATTACTCATTTACGGACTAAAATACATACTGGCTGGTTATGGGAATTTTATATTTTGCGTATCAACGGTTGATTCATTCATTGATTTAATTATTTTTCTAAGCCAATTTATTAGAAAATTTGAATTCTAAGGTTTCTCTACGAATTTTGATGCTTGAATCATGTACATTTCTAGGAAATTATATAGCTTTTCAAAAAAAATTAAATTTTTGAATCTCAAGACTCAAAGTTATTTATATAGTGAATTCTCTGGTTCAATTAATTATCTTTTATCCTCTAATTTTTACAAATGAAACTCGTTACTATTGTGCAGAAAACTAGGAAGGGTTTATCGATACTTTATCCCAGACTAGATGCAATTCAAAACTTATAAGTAATAACATAGCAGTCATTACAACGGTAATAGTTTATTTATTTATTTATGTCAAATTATTTAAAATAAAACTAAAACGTTCTCATAATACCTTTTAAATATCATTTCAATAATTCAAATCGTTTTTTATTTTTAAATCTTAAACTTCAAAACGAAATCCATTGTAACAATACTTTATTTTGAAGCTTTTAGATGGTTTTTTAATTTTCCTTTAATTAAATACATTCTTTCCTAGAACGTCATTTTCTAATAATTTACAATGAATCCCAACTCCGTTTGACCCTGGCGTCATGACCCACTTCAAAATAGAAAGTAGATATAATCTTTTGATTTATTTTGGATTCTTTTGTGTGCAATTTCATTATATGTGAGTTTTAGTTACAAATGAAAGTGGTTGACCTGATTGATATGATCGTCTTTTCTTATAATTAACCAACTTAAAGTTCAACTGTTTTAAGGCTTCCACTACTTTTTTTGCTTGTATTTTCTGTTATTGAGTTATGATTTCTGTTATCAAATGTTGAGAAAATAAAGATTCAAACTTAATGACAAATAGTATTAATGCACATATACCCACTTTTTGAGCTAATAAAAGAACTTGTTTTATATGACCATTAATATTCGTGAAAAGGTTACCCAAAGGGAGAATTTAGGATTTTTTTTTGAAAATCTAAAAAAAAAAACACATGGAAACAGTGAGATAGCTTTATAATAACTATTAAGGAAGACTTGATCGCGATAATGAATCAATAGAGAACTAATTCAGCCCTTTAAGTAGAAACCCCGTTAAAAGAAGCAATGTATTAGCAGCTTTCTTTATTCTTTATCACTCGACAAAATTTGCAGTCAATTATTACATCTACTTCTGAAAAAATTCGGGCACCTTACTCAGCGGAAATACTCTTCGAGAACTTCGCGCGAACTTGTGGGGGTGTCGTTATTTATCCCAGGTTTGTTAAATGGCAAGATGTAGGATGTCTGAGTCAGACTAATATTAAATTAACTTTGTGCCATTCATCGAAAATTTCGAAATGTAAATATTAACAGAAGTATTCTGAATTATTTATAATTAATACAAGTATTCTAAAAAAAACGTACCATATTTTTTCCACGGGCCTGGCAACATCCATGGGGTTTTTAAAGTTACATTATTTTGAACATCTTCAATATGACTTAAAATAAAGCTTTCAACTTCTTCAGTATTGGCCAGCATCAAAGGCGTTTGCCCTAAATTTATAATAAATGATATAACAGCAATTTACATATAAATTTTAGAAAATGTTGCAAAATTACCAGTATAGGTCGTTAATAAAGGATCTGCTCCATACGACAATAATAGTCTTATAATTTCAACAGAACCAGCTTCACTAGCCTCGTGCAATGGTCTTATACCGGAATGAGCTGCTTGACTATGATCTGCACCATATTGTAAAAGTAATCGCACTATATCAATGCGATTTTGTTGGCATGCTTCATGCAATGGCGTGTATCCCGCATTGTCTTTGGGATTTGGGTCCATATTCAATCTCTCTAAGCAATAAGCTATCACATCTAAATACCCCAAACGTGCAGCTTTATGCAAATAACTTTGTCCTAAGCTTTTGTTGATCACCCAATTTTTAATTTCCTTGCAAACGTCACCTTCAACTTTTGTACCAAAAACTTTTGGAAAATTTTTCTTCCTTGTAAGAAAATTTGCAGTTTTAGATGCCGTTATTTTTTTTTTTTTTTTAATATAATCGAATCCAGAACTTCCTTTTTTGCGATATTTATTGGTTCTTTTTTGTTTGCACACTTTAGATTTCATTGAACAAGTTTGATCACATTCTAAATTATCAGGTACAGAATTATTTCGTACTTCATTGTTTTTTGTTGAAATTTCATTAATCGGTTCTTTTATATTTTCTTCATTTTTTGAACTAACGCTGCAATTTTCAACTGTTAAACAAGTTTCATGTGTACTATTCTCAACACCAACATTTCGTAGTTTTCTTATTTTAAACCCAAAATCGGCGTTAATTTCCTCCAAATATTGTTTGAATTTTTCTTCAAAACTCATTTCATTCCCTTCGTTTTTAACTTGAAATAGTGCTATTCCTGGAGGTGCGGAAGCTGGTCGATCCTCTCCAACAAAAATTTCTCTAATGTGTTCCTTATTCTTTAAAATACGGGATTCGGTTCTTGTACGAGCTTTCAATACTTCAGTATCGAAGACACTAAAATGATTTGAATTCGTCTTCTCCTGGGCGCCAGTCGCATTAGCATAATAATATTTTTCCGATTTTGTTTTTCTGTAGGATGCATTTCTAAATATTCGTTTAGGCCCATTTGTAAAACTAATTGCTCTGGAGTGAAGAATATCGATTATTGAATTTGACGAAGCACGCAAAGTTGTGTCGTTGTGTGGAACGTCTGGTTCGTTTGTACTCGTTTTGGTAAGAATACTTCTGTTTTCTGCTGTTGCAAAAGATGAGTTGTACTCCTTACCGCCTTGTATAGTAATTAATCTCAAAGGTATTTTTAAGGATTTTTTATATTCAAAAACTTCGCGCTGCCAACCAGGAGGAAACTTCGAAGTATCGTTATGACTTAATGACTTTTCTTTAGAAGATATGGAAATATTGTTATTTCGTTTTTTTTTACATTTTATTTGCTGTGCTTCGCTTTTTTTAATGGAGGTAATAGAGTTTTTGTATGAAGCTCGAGTAATCTTTTGCTGAACGTTTTTTAATTTGATATTAGAACTTTTTTTTAAACTAACGTTGATTTTATTATTAATGTGTCTTCTTAAAGATTTTTCCCCATTTTTCAAATTAGCATTTGACGTTTTGGTCATAATAACTTTCTTGTTTCTTAAAATTCTACTATATTCCGATTTGTTCATTGCATCTTTACTGATATCCTTCTTATTGATTTTATTTTTAGAAAGATTTCTTGGACATTGTTTTTCATTATGATTTGCTAGTAGCTTTTGCCCAACTATGTTTCCCGCAGGGTTAAATCTTAAACTTTTCCTGTTGCAGTGACTATTAATAAAATTTTTTTCTTTTGATGTTTTTTCGTGTTTTTCTAAAAAATTGATAAGATTCTCCTTTATTTTGGAATTTTTATCGATACTTTGATTTGAAATTTCCTTTTTAGTTTCGTTTTTTCCTGATTTTCTTATATCATTTCTTTTGCGGTGCACTTTGCTAAAATTGTCTTCTTCTCTAGAAAAATCTTTAATAAAATAGTCTATTTTTTCTAGTTTTTCCTTTATCTGACAACCTTTTATTTTGTTTAACGCATTTAGGTTATCTTGTTTATTTTTGTCAGTAACATTTCTAGATTTTAGTTTTTTTTCTTCCTCATAGTTTTTAATGTTCAAAAACCTTTTCCGTGCATTCTTTTCATTTTTGGTTGAAGAAGTAGTTGGGTTTTCGGTTTTTTTTTGACATAATTCATTTAATGGTTTATCTTCTTCAGTTGAGCTTTTTGAGTTTGCCCTGTTTTCGCATTCTGATTTATGCTTATATATATTCTTATCATGGTCATTAGCTATTTTCCTTACATATTTATCTTTTGTTTTTACATTTGCTGATGTACTTAAGATATTTTT